ATATATATACACATACATACATACATACATACATGCATACGTGCTTTCTAGTCCAGATGTCTAGGTGTTTAGCCAGTAAAGTTGGAAACATTCAATTGTTTTAATTCTGTATTTAAACTATGTAGCAATATGTAACTTATGAAAACAGAGAATAAAGATTGAAGGTATTTAAATGGGCTAAATATAACTGACACATAATGTAGGGAAGCCTTAACTCTGACATTAAAATCCAGAGAGAACAGTAAAGGCAGTTGGACTCCACTTCTACCCAGATTGCAGGTTTTACCCTATATTTCCTTTCATCCTCCCAGAAACGCTCTTAGGTATTGTCACTGGCACGCTGGTGCTGGTGACACCAACAAGAGCACCTCTGGCATCAGAGGTGGATGTGTCTTGAGAGGTTTTCTTAAACTGGTTTTTAAAAAGATAGGGGAAAAAAAAGACAAATTACTCAGCCATGACAGTAAAACCGGGAATGGTTTTCATTTTAGCATCTTAAAAACACAAATCTAAAGCTCTAGTAGGTAAGACAGCATTACTGTTTCTACAGGGAACTGGGACCTACAGACTAACACATATAGAAATTTCCCCACTGAGCACAAGAGTGACGGGCTAGTATTCGGGACTACAATGTGAGGAAAGTAACCAGGCCAATGTCCCCCGACTGATTCGATCACATCGCTCACTCTGTTTGGATATTACTAATTTGTATTTGTCTTCTGGAGTAGTACTTAGCAGATCACACCAGCAGAATGGTATCTTCTGCTTTTGGCAGGTGGTCTCATTGTACAGAGCTTATCAATGAATGTACCACTTCCCCCCGCCCCATCCTCGTGAGCATTATACACGTTACAGTCATAGTAACATTTCTCTATATATACATAAATACATTGAAACATTTAATTCTAGGAAATTTACATGGTGTAGAAACAAAGACAAAGTGTAGAGAAAATGCATGCAGAGTGACCCCAGTAAAGTACGGAGCCTGTGGGATACATAATTTTATTTGACTCTATATTTCTTGCAGGATAGTAACACACATCTTTTCCTACCCAGGGGCAAAATATATTTTCAAAAAATTAGATATTGCCCACTGCGTTAAATTTAAATTAAATGTTCTCTATGTATACAGATACTGAAAGCAAATAAACTTACAACACATTCATTTTTTTAATATATCAAAAATGTTCCAAGGCAACATTATCAAAGTGATTATACCACAGTCCCTGACTACGAGGGAGGTACGGAGAGGGCAGGGAAGCTCCATCCAGCCGAGCGTCTAGGTGCTCTTCTTCTCCTCACCCAGTAAGTTCACCGTAGCTTTCTTAGCTATTAGGAGGGACAGAAATTGTATTAAAACGTTTAGTAATACAAGCTCCATGCCTAATGTGGCTAGCGGATAACAAAACTCGGAGGACTCACGGGGAGACGAGAGCACACTGAGGTCTGTGCTCAGGGCTGGGTGGGCTTCCAGCAGATGGACGAAGAACCTTTGCAAAGCACAAATGCTGTAGATGAGCAAAATTTATGTAGCCCGGTATGACCGTTACCCTAACTACCTGCCCTCTATTCTCTTGTAAGCCTCAAAAGCAGAGATTCCACAATAGCAGTGCTCCTTTGTACAGCCGCAGTCTCAGCTGTGCCAGGTGCTTGCCTGTACGATTTCAGTGCTCATCAATCTGAGAACTAAGCTGTCATATCTGTCCTGTGGTGACAAAAATCAGAGAGGCTTATTCCAGCTCTAGAAGAATGTACACTCCACGCCATGTGCGCCCCCTATGATGGGGAGAGGCTCGGAATACGTTGTAAGAACCAGTGCATGGGGTGACGGGGCGGGGGCAGAGGCTGACGGGAAGCCACAGTGAGTCCACAGACCGCAGCTGTTTCAAGCCTGTGTGATGAGAGCCACCAGGGCCTCTCTGTCCACCAGCTGCCTGACAGCTGCTCCCCCTTTACTCAATTAGAATTGTTAGACAAAGTTACAAAGAAGAAACTGCAGCCTCTCAACTAGCCCTATCTATAAAATTCCCAGGGAATCCAGAAGTTCTGAGAGATCTTTAAAATGTGTCAACACTAAGTTCCTTTGATTCTCAGGCCTGGTTCAGAATGTATCAGACGGAGTTAGACTGACTGCAGAGTGCTGATGTGAACGAGACAGAGATACCAGTACAGGCTGCCTGGTAGGCCACAAGCAGAACAACAGAAAAGAAAGCTCAACTAGAGCTCCAGAGGTGGGAGAAAGCGAAGGTTTTCAAAGTCACAGCAAAATGTCATGAAGCAGATTGGTGTTTATGCCCAGACCCAGAAACCCAAAGGGGAGAGCTCTGGGAGAACCGGGGACATTGCTTCTCCCAGCCTCAGTGCCACTGGGCCCTGCCGTGGTGGATCCTATGTCCGTGGTGGTCAGCCCACCTCTCGTCTCCCGGAATAACTGTACCATGGGGCGCTAACAGATATCCCTGAAGGTCCACCGCCCTCTTCTCAGCTCTCCAGCCCTTGAGCTCCTCTGGAACTCAAGGGCACCACCAGCAAACTCTCAATCTCCATTCTTTTCTCTGAAAGTTTTATTTACCTTCGTGCTGGCAGAGCTCGCTGTCCCCAAGGAAGTTCTTGCTCAAGTCACAGCTGGCTTTTCCTCCCGTGACCCAGTGCCCCTGACTCTGGAGAGTTGGCAGGCACCGTCTGTCTTCACTGCCACTTTCAGAATCTCACACATCAGATTCTATCATCCACGCACCTTTTCCTAGCCCTGTCTGACTCTCGGCTTACTGTCTAATCTCTCCCCACGCCCCGTTCCTCCCAGGAATTGAACTCCGAACCTTGTGCTTGCCAGGCAGGCACAGCGCCACTGAGCTGCATCCCCGGCCCATGCGGTCTCATTTCTTGACAATTTTAGCTCCTCAGTGAGTTTCTCCAACACTTAATGTCAATCTGCTATTTTAATTCCTGGTGATTTTAATATTCACGTAGACATAACTCTTCTAATATCTTGACCTCTTCGTTCCTCCCCTACAGTAACCATTATATTCCGTCTAACCTACAGCAGTCCTGCCAGGACGCTTGTTCATACCAATACCGCGGTGGCTCCACATCCCCTCCACCACTGCCTTGTATCTCCGCAGCTCATTCCACTGCTCTGCTTCGCAGTCCTCCTCTCACCCTCCTTTCCTTACCCAGCTTCAATTCCATGTCAAACATTAACCATTCCAGAGTTCCACTCAAGCCACATCATTCCTGGTTAAAATCACAGGCTTGATACAACTCTCCACTTACTCTGCTGCCACCCTGTAGTGAATGCAGCTGGAGAAAAACACAAAGGTGAACTGATCCCACTTTGAGCTCATGAGCACAGATCTCAAGTGAACCTTCAACACTGCCTGGCAGTCGCATGACAACACGCCAGTGCACTTCCTTTCCCACTGTCCTAGAGACAGCAAACTACTGCCATACGTGCCCCACAGGAGGTCTTGGGCTGCTTTGGGGCCACAGGGGCAGAGCTGAGTAGTTGCAGAGACCTTTTTGGCTCACGAGGCTGAAGTCTCTTGTCATCTGCAGAAGTTCTGCCAATCTCTGTCCTATACGTCCATTCGTTCCTGCCTCTCCTCTTCCCACCGCCTCCTTCCTCAGCACCTCTCAGGGGCCCACCTTCCTCTTTAACGAAGAGTCTGAAGCCACGAGAAAATTACTTCTTGATGCTCCCACAGCCACTCCTACCTGCCCACCAGCATCTCTCCCACAAACCCTGGTTTCCCTCCTCTTGTAAAATGTTCCAGCTCCTCTGCTCTGTCTCTGTGGACACCGGATCCTCTCTCTGACCCAGTCAAGGACACAGCTCCAGCAGTTCACCCTCTCACTCCTATCATTTTTTGGTTGTGTTGTTTTGTTTTTAGAGGGGCTTCCCTCAGACCAGCACCCAATCATCATTGTTTGCTAACTGATCATTCCTATTGATTGTCCAACATTCCTTATTTCTCCTACCAAAAGAAAAAGTTTAAATTCTCAGGACCCTAGTTTCCTCTTCCTCCTCACGGCCCCATCCTTCTGTTCTCCTTTGCAGCAGATTTCTAGATTCTTTCACAACTTTTTCCCTACTCTCTGAAATCTCTTCCAGACAGGAGTTTCTCACACTGCAAAAACACGTTTCCTCAAGATCACCAGTGTCTTCCTCGTTGCTAAGTCCAACTGTCGGGGCTTAGTCTTAATCAGTCTACACGTGTGACAAGTGAGTCACTTCCTCTTCGAAACACTTTCGTCTAGACTGTAGTCTCAACTAGACCATAAGCATAAAGGAGTACAGTCTGTTTGGTTGACTGCCAGGGCCAGGAACATGTTTGGCCCATAACAAATACCTCAATAAATTATTTGGTTGTTTTTTTTTTTTGGTACTGGGATAGAACTCGCGTCCTGGCACTTACAAGGCAGGCCACCAAACCGCTGAGCTAAATCCCCAGCCCCTCAATAAATTATTTGAATGAATCAATTAGAGGAGCTGAGAAAGAGTATTCTTTGGGCTCTATTACAGAAACCATTCAACCCGAACTGAATTAGAGATATATTTGATTCTCTAATATCTCTGCCTGCAGTAGGAAGTCATATTTCTTAGTATGCTGCTCGAGTGCTGCACTGATGTGTCAGAAAGTCAGAACTAGGGAACAGTGAGGGCAAACAGGCAAACTCTTGGTCCAGAAATCCTTCTGCAAGGCCTGGCATCTGGCTGAGGAAAGCTGAGAGGACAAGGTGGCCAGGAAGCCTTAATGTTATTTGAGCCAATGTTCCTATCTCTTCTGCCTGTTGAACCAACTTGCCCTTGAGTCTCACCTTCTTTAGTGATGGCATCGGCAGTCTCTTTGGCTTTGTCTTTCAGGTCCTTCACCACACTGTCGACCTGGGACTCGTGCTTCAGGAAGAAAGGACGGATGATGCGCTTGTAGAGCAGCTCTGCTCCATTAGACGGGCTCGGGGCCATACACCACAACAGGAAGCCGCACTGCGGGAGGAAGGAGACTCGGTGAGACCGGCAGCAGGGCACGGCAGTCCGCCCACTGCGAGCAGGGAGGGCGGGCTGGCCCAGGCACCACCCCAGTGTGTTCTGTAGACTGGCAGAGATGGACAGAAACATGACCCATAATGAGCGAGGAAGGAAAGGTGGGCACACCTTTCTGAAAAAGACAAAGCACACTAGGTCCAGCACTTTCAGGGTTTATAGCTGTAAGAGGTATCAGACAGATACCAACTCCCAAGATGGCTTACACAGTAATATTCATAAACATAAGGGGCCAAGGACTTGCTCAGTGGTTCTGCCATCTGCCTTGCAAGTGCAAGGTCCCGAGTTCAATCCCCAGAACCAAAAAGTATTTTTTTAATTAAAAATAAACACAAGGCAAATATTCAAGATTAAAATTCTGTTTCTTTCAAATACGTAAATTAGTCCTGTATAAGTTTGTAATTTTATATTGTGATAATTCTGTATCTTTGGAATATGTAAAAATTTTAAAATACATTTAAAATTCAAAACTCAATCTGTAATTATAAATTTTAATATTTCCATCAGAATTTGATCTTAAACTTGAAATGAGTAAGAATACAAAACACCAATGAAAAATCTTCATTTAAAGAACGAATGTATTTCTCTAGTTAACAAGTAACATATACCTACATGTATGCATACATGTTTTGCCCCCAAGGAAGAGTCTCAGTTACCCAGACTGGCCTCACATTCCTGGGCTCAAGGATCCTCCTGTGCTGCCAGGGCTAGCCACGAACAGGTACTCTGTGTCAGAGTAGGACAGCCACGACAAGAGGTGGGCTCAGAGACACCAGTATCCTGCTCCATCCCACGACAGCTGGGCAAACCTATGGACATTACTTAACTGCTTACGGATGTTTTCCCTTCCATAAAATCGGTAGTAACTGAAATTTACCAGTCTACCAGCTACTATTTTATAAAATAATAAAAAGCATTTGAAATGTTAGCATAGTAAGGGCTTTGTCTCTATTGCAAGAATACTGTCTTAAAAATATTGTCTTCTATCAATATTCAAAGATAGTAACAGGCTAATGTATTACCTTTATGTGGAGTAAAGCAAATCCTAGAACCAACAATGTTTAAATATTTTGTAACTTTTACTACCTGAAATAAAATCCAAAGTAATGACATACAATAGTATATATACATTTAATATGTAAATATGCAGACAAACTCAGGGGACAAAACGCCATCAAATACTCCTGTGCACACCGAGTCACTGTGACCGCTGTATGACAAGCCCCGCTTATCCTGTCCATCCTCACGGGCTTTACCCTTCCTTTAAGGCTTAAATTACTGTTCTCCACGCCCAAGCGGCCCCTACACTGCCCAAGATGCAAGAGGCCCCGGGGAGGAGGGCAGCGCTGCTGTTCCAGAGCACAGAGGAAGCGGTGGAGGAGGTGCTCCGGCGGGTCCCCGAGAGGATCAACCCCACAACGACCAGGCTGCCGCCCCCACCGCTGACGACGACGACGACGACGACGACGACGACGACGACGACGACGACGCCACCGATGACGAAGACGCACAGCCCGAAAGTCCAGAGGAGGGCAGACACCACTGAGGCTATGCTTGAGAAGATTCTCGCCACGGTTGAAGATACGAACGCCCGCGTTAAAGCCCTGGAGCGTAAAGAACGACCAGGCTGCCGCCCCCACCGCTGACGACGACGACGACGACGACGACGACGACGACGACGACGACGACGCCACCGATGACGAAGACGCACAGCCCGAAAGTCCAGAGGAGGGCAGACACCACTGAGGCTATGCTTGAGAAGATTCTCGCCACGGTTGAAGATACGAACGCCCGCGTTAAAGCCCTGGAGCGTAAAGTGGAAAGGCTGCTTCTCCGGCCCTCAGCTGTGCCCACAAGTGTAATAACTCCAGGCAGGGATGGCTGATTTTTGCCCCAGGCTGATGACGCCACAGTTGCTACCCGTAGCCGGTCAGAAGCTACAGCCTAGATAACGGGATTCTGGGGTTAGGAAAGCAAAGGATGGGAAAGTGTGGCCACAGGAGAGGGAAGGGTAGATGAGGCTGGAACAAGTGCACAGTAATAGCACAAACATGAACAAGCGAGCGCAGCCTCCAACCCGCCCTCACAGTGCTGATGAGGACCCTCTACCATTAAAGCTGCCGTGAAGCCAGGGCCTTCCACCTACCCTCAGCACGCCTGGGGAGTTCCATGTTTACTGTTAATTTTCCAAGCAACCTGGCTCCAGCCTCTGGGTTTGGCTACCAAGCAGATCTCAGGAAACTACAAGATGTTGCCAGAGAACCAGAGTGGCACAGTGACTGCACTTTTTCACCGGCTGCCCCTTTTCCTTCCTCTGCACAGTCCAGGTGATTTTCAGTGGACCCTGCAGACCATCTCCCTAGCTCCCCGTGGAAGACTTTAGACTTCCCCACAGTCACTTTTACACAGGATGTGCTTGTACGTGCACGCCCAAACTCAGAGCAAACAAAATGAAGCGCAGGCAGCCTTGAGGTAACACTTTCGACAGAGCACCAGAATTCCTCATGGATATTTTGAAGCTCGCAAACAGTGCCAAGAAGTTGTAGTCACAAAGCAGTACTTTCCTACCAACTCTATTAACTATTTGAGAGCAGTTAGTTTTACCACCCAACATCCCAATATATTTGCTTCATAAATGTTTTTGCTAGGCTTTATTATATAGGAAAACGGTGGTTCTGAGTTTTAGGCCATATAACACATTTAAATTTTTCTCATTTACAATAAAGGAGCCAGTGCGGTGGTGTGTGCTCAGCGACTTGGGAAGCTGAGGCACTCAAGCCCAGGAGTTTGAGGCCAGTATGAGCAATCTAGCCAGACCCCTTCTCAAAAAACTGGCTGGTATCCTCCACAGCATGTCAGACTATTATTTACTACTTTCTAGTACATCTAGCTATTGTCTTGAGACAGTTAAATAATTACTGTTTTCTACCTACATCCTTAGCACTTGCCAGTTCTCACGTGAATTCACTTTCTTATATTAATAAAGTTAATTACTGTTCAATTCTCAAGGTGATGTTCTGCCGCCAGTTTTTACAACCCCCTCTTCCTAATTAACTGTTCTGCAGCTCAGGAGCACCCTAAGTTAATTAAAGTCACCCACACGGATTTGCTGTCCTCTTAATCAAGCTGTCCTCAAGGTGCCAGCTAACAATTCTCCCATGGGTCCCTCTTACCTGTCAGAGCGCACGCTTTCCTAACTGAACTCTTGTGGACTGTTAGTACTGACACAGTGAATCCATAAATCACAATAGGTCAGACAATCCTGATTCCAATCTTCTTGCCATCCAATTTTTCTCCTGAAGAAATAGTTCTAGGATAGGAATATGTTTGGCACACAGGGGACTATCCTGGTCAGAGCTGTGAATGTCAGAAAAAATGTCCATACTAAATATGCTCTAAAAACTTGATCAAAAATCATACATCCTAGAAAGGATTTTCAATACAGTTACAAGAATAGTGATGGGCTAAATTTAAAACTCAGTGTTCAAGCCAGAAAAGGTACCATGCACCTGTAAGCTTGGGTACTTGGGAGGCTGAGGCAAGGGGACTGCTTGACCTTGGGAACTCAAGGCTAGCATGGGAGCCAGAGAGCCCATCTTATTGGGGAACAGGGGGAGTTGCTCAGCATGCACAAATAAAAATTCAAAAAGAACATATCACAGGAAGATCTCCCTATTTTCTGGCTGCTTACAAAGATGAAAGAGAAACACCATGCTCTGTTAATGGTAGGAAAAGCACAGGTGACAATTTAGATCAGGACCTAAGCTTACCAGAATTTAGCTTGTTCTAGAAAATGACTTGAACGAGAGTAAACATAAGGTACAGGGATAGTCATTACAACACAATAGCAAAACAAATGTCCTAAATGTTTCTCAACAGGGAAGTAGGTAAATTATGAGACTGAATCACTGTCAAATATCTAGTAACATGAGAAAATACTCAGCTAACCCGAAGACGCAAAATCACATATATTGTATGTGGCCTCAAGCACACACAGGTGCCTAAGGGAAATGTTTGTGTAGCATTATATGCATAGACCAATTAAAAAGGAAGACTACAAGATGTTCGCCATAGAATTATAAATGTTATTTTCTTCCCTATCTAAAACATGCTCCCCACCCCACATCATTTGTAAACAGTATGACAGCAAGGGCTTTTAGTCACCAAAGCATTCCCTAAACCTAGAACAGAATCTGTCACATAGGGGGTCTATACTTGAAGTATATACAAATTTCACAATCAGAGAAGAAAGGCTTTAAAATGGATTTCCAACACTTTTCAAGCACAGACCTCAAAGCAAAGGGCAGGGCATGCACAAGCCAGTCTCTAGGTAAATACACTGTACGTTAACTCAGACACACTCTGATGCCTGGCCACTGATTCCTCATACTTTCCTCCAACTCTATAGGCTACTTTATAACAATGAAAACAATATTTATGAGGGTTAATCTTGATATCCACTCAACTGGATTAAGAGCCTCCTGCAAAGATGACTGGGTCGTGGGTCCACCAATGAACTGGATCACTGATGTTCACAGCTCAATGTGCTGTTAGAGGCAGGGCCCAAACACGTTCACACCCACGGAGGTGGAGATGCCCTTGGAGGGTGCGTCTCTCACTGGTGCTGCTTCCCTGCTGGGCTTCCGGGCCAACGTGACGTGAGCAGCTTTGTGCCACCGCACCCTTCTGCCATGATGCGCCTGCCTTGGCCCCAAGCAGGGACTGAAGTCTCTGAAGCCATGAGCCAAATTAAACCTCTCCTTTAAGTTGTGGTGCCAGTACTCAACCACCTTATCTTTGACAAAGGAGCCAAACACCTTCACGGGGAGAAAGACAGCCTTTTTTTTGTACCGGGGATCGAACACGGGACCTTGTGCTTGCAAGGCAGGAGGCAGTGCCACTGAGCTAAATCCCTGGTGAAAGATACCGTTTTAGGAAGTGGTGCTGGAAAAGCTGGTTTTCCACATGCCCAAGATTGAAACTAGACCCATATCTTTCACCATACACTAACTTAAAATCGAAATGGACCAAAGATGTAAATATTAAAATAGAAACACTGTATGTGCTGGAAGAGAATATAGGTAGAACGCTTGAGGACTTTAGAGTAGGCAAACACTTCATGAACAAAACCCAAACCACAGGGGAAATACTACAAAGAATCAACAACTGGGACCTCATCTTATTAAAAAGCTTTTTCACAGGAAGAGAAACCACCAGCACAGTGAAGAGACAACCCAGAGAGTGGGGAAACATTTTTTTACTAGCTATTCAGATAAAGGACTATTATCTAGAACATATAAAGAACTCAAAATCAGACCTCCCAAATTTAAAGACCAAATGTAAAAATGGGCATCTGAAATGAAAAACACTTCTCAGATAAAGAATTAGAAATGGCAAATATATGAAAAAATGTTCAACATCACTGATCATTTGAGAGATGCAAATTAAAAACACTGAGATGCCATTTCCAGAAAGGCTGCAATCAAGAAATCAATAACAAATGTTGGAGAGGCTGTGGGGAGAAAGGAACCCAACTCTACCGTTGGTGGGAGTACAGACTGGTTCAACCACTGTGGAAATCAGTAGGGACCCTCCTCAAAGAACTAAAACTAGAGGCTCCATCTGACCCAGCTATAACTCTTCTTGGTACCTTCCTGAAAGAATTAAAAGCCTCATACCGCAGCGATACATGTACAACCATGTTTATAGCACCATAGTTTGTAATAGCTAAATGTTGGAAACAGCCCAAATGCCCACAACTGACAAGTGAATAAAGAAGATGTGTTTTTTTTTTTATAGAATGGAGTACTACTCTGCCTTACGGATGAACTTCAGACACTTACAGTTATAGGATGGATCCTGAGACCATACTCTTAAGTGAAATAAATCAAATGCACATGTTTAAATACTGAGTTGTTTTTCTAGAGTGAAAAACCGAAAGTAGAAATAAGGACTTAAATGTATATTGGGAAATGGGAAAAAAGTGTCCATAGGTTGTGGGTGTTGGGTGTTATGCCCCAGCAACAGGAAAGCTGACTAATACAACAGTAATTCGGCAAAAGATAAACTACTAGCTTGCAGCTCTCTTTTGCACAATCTCATACAATCAATGCATGACTACCACATGGCACAGGTAAGATTTATTCCAGTTCTTAAAATATGAAATTCTCCTAAACTTCCACAGACTCTGCAGTTCAGAGACTTGTTCTGTCTGTTCCCTGGAGCCACTCACCATACCACTAATGCAGGGAGAAAGCTTTCTGATGGCCACCATCAATTTTTAATTCACTCAAGTATTTTATCTATTTGAAACACACAGTGAATTCACTCTCGCTCACACCACGATTCTGTGAAGCCGGAGACTTCTAACAGATGCATTCATTTTATCTTTTAGGGAAGGAAATTTGCTGCAGCACAATTTTAAAAATGTACTTCCAAACCAAACAGAAAGATTCAGTGTTTGCCTCTTCTTTGGGGCGCTCTCCGTATCTGGTCTCGTTAGCGGAGGCGACCAGGAGAAGGCCTGAAGTCAGGCTGCTCATATTCCAGAACTTTAGGTCAGATACTGGCAGAAACAGTTCTGCTGATGGGATACTATTTACTGCAGAGAGCAGATGGGCCCTGGACAAAGCCAAGTTCTTTCCATTAGTCTGCACTATGAGGTCAGTGCCATTAGATGAATCCAATTAAGGTCTTCAAAATTATCCAATATTTAAAATGTTACACCTAAATTAAAGATTATAAAATATTTTATAAACACAAAATGTCTTTGAATGAAACATACCCAACATATCTGGCAATCTTTGAAATCTTAAATTTTCCTGCAGATCAATTTTCTTGTCTATTTTGAAAGGAAAATACTTCAACTGTCTTAAAAGGCATTCTGTGCTATACTAAATATGTTTCTATCTAATTTTTAAAATTTGCATCATCTTTTTAACCAAATAGTGACACACTATCTGTGATCTATAATTTTTCATAATTATGCAAATATTTACATAAATACATATATATGGACCTGTTTCATACTGCACTATTCATTTAATCATTCACCTGTCAATGGAACTTTCAATTGCTCCTGTTACTTGTAACAAAAATTGCTGCAGTGATTATCTTTGTGCTGCCCTTATGCACTTTGGATATTTCCTTAGGACAGAATTGTAAGTGTGTCAATTTTCAATTCAACGAGAAACCGTCAAATGGCCCAGTGAAAAGGCTATTCTAACTCATATCCCTATTCATTACTGGTAACACGACCACTGAAGCCACCCCCAAGTTGAAGTTTTTTTTTCCTTTTCTTCCTTCTTTTTCAATTTACATGTGGTGATATTTTCTCTCTGCACATCTTCACAACTAACTGTACAGACAGCTGGTTGACAGCACTAACTCCCCCTTCCAGGTTTCAGAAAAGGTCCTAATTCAAAAGAAGCTATAAAAGTGTAGAGCATGGAAAATGGGGTGGGGGTGTAGAGCAGAGACCTCTAAACCATGTTTCCCTAGAGTCACAGGTCAAGAATGACTATGTGACTTTGGGCCCAGGAGATGTGCACACATTCCAGAACTGGCCACTTCTCCAGACTAGGGTCCCTCTACCCACTCTGGGACCAAGATCCTACTCCCATAGGGAAGGCCACCAGAGCCTTCTCACAGAGCCACTGACTCCTTGCTTGTGAGCCCCTTCCTCTCCCATCACTGTGCCTCTAAGTCACTGGCTCTCAGCAACAGAGTCACACCTTTCACAGTTACACACCACGTGTCCACTTCCGGATACACATCTATACCGGGTATTTTCAATATTTAAAATACCTACCAATATGATGAGCAAAATACAGGACTTCACTATTTGAACTCACATTTCCCAGATCACTAGTGAGATATTTCCTGGTCACTTATATTTTTTCTTTCCTATGAAATATCATATAGGAGCTTTATCCATTTTTCTTTTTATTTGGAAAAATTTCTATATATTCAGGATATTAGTTTCTTATTTGGTATAAATATTGTAATTATATCTCTTGGTCTGTCATTTTAACTTTATGCTGCCCACTGTCACACAGAAATTTAATTTTCAAAAATTTTACTTAGCCAAGTTTATAAAATCTTTTTTCTTTGTATTTTCTGTAGTTTCTTACTTCTATAGGTGAAAATTTTAAAACTTTCTTGTTTACTCTTTTCTAAATCAAAGATTTTGGCATAAAAGTGTTGATCCTCTAAGGTGCTGAAGAAAACAGCTGGGGACTAGTTACCACCACGACCCCCAAGCTGCCGTACAAGCCTGTGAATTACATCCCAGGAGAAGGGGGCAAAGCCTAGACCCAGAGAGCTGTGGGGTTGGGGGAAGAGTCAACTGGCTCCTCTGCAGCCCAGGGCCACACTCTGAGTGGGGTTCCCCCGAGCCCCACCCTAGGCTCGTGCACTCACTACCCAAACTGAGTACGCAAGACCAGCATGGCCTGGGTGTGGCTTCTTCCACTCCACAGCCTGGCAGAGCTTGAAAGCCCTGAAGGAATGTGAATTTGCAGGCCAAAATAGTAAGCTATTTGATGAGTACAACCATTCTAAAAGAAAAACAACATAATCAACTACAGATTCTGAGAGGAGTAAAAACACTAGAACTGACTGACCAAGAATTTTTAAATAATTAGCCATATGTTAAAAAGAAATACACAAACATGCAGGATATGCAAGACAAACTGAAATAGTATGCTGCAAATATGTTTGAATATATAGCAATTATTAGTTTCAGAGGAAATAAAAAGGACACTACATGTATGTATAGTCAAAATAAACAGTATTTTCAAAGTCATGATTTAGTAAGCAGTGACTATTTAAAGTTCACATTAGGAGGATGGGGACATGGGAAGGCTGCATTTAAGAAGGTGCAGAACTGACGTAAAACCTTACAGAGCTGCTGAACTTCAAACCATGTCATGTGTCGCTTTTACCTGAATACTAGTAAAAAGAAAGGGAAGGAAGAGCCCTAGAATTCCTAAGGGCTCGGCACCTCACACCGCTCGGCTGACTGAGTTTGCAAGTCGGAGCCTGAGGACTGGAGGCACCATTCACATCATACCAACTACCTAGGTGCACAGGCTGTGTGTGCAAGTCCCCTGACAGATCCTCTCTACACAGCTCGTCCCGGTACGTGAAAAGAACCACTCTATCCATTAAGAGTTATGAATTTTTTCATTCTCACTGCTGGTACAAGTCCGGAGTTCCATAAAAGTTCCATGACGACTGTTTCAATTTTCTATCCCTTCCCCCCGGCTGCTAGTAACTACAGCTGTTCCTGCCGATCCCTGACTTTGTAATTGTCAAAGGCACTAAACTGACTTTCTCAGAGAGCTAACTGCACATCTTCTTTCTAAACCTATGTAAGAAATGAGTATTTTTCCTTCCAGAAATGACTCCTGGTCACCACTGAATAATTGATGACCTGCTGGCATTTGCAATGCTTCCACATCACAGTATACAGCACTGCATAAAGACAGATCTTAGCAAACACAACTATCTTTAGATTCTAGTATTTCCATCCTGAACATGCAACTGTTCTGGCTATTTTCTAAGACAGTGTACAGAGGAAGTTAGACCCTGGATCCTGTCTTATGATCTGAGATGACATCTACGATGTCTAACACTGAACGATTTGTTCCTACACAGGTCCTGAGCTGGAGTTTTAACGGTACAGAGCAAAGCAAAGCAAATATACGTAACTGGAAGGAAAGAGTGGCTAGAAGCCAACATACCTTCAGCATGTAGTAGAAAGGGAACCATGATAGGAAGAGATCAGAGAAGAACTCGGCAATGCTGAACACACCATACACTACCCAGTAGGTCAGCCACTGGGTATCATCATCTTTGTTGGGGCTCTCTATGGCTTTCATTCTGCAAGGAAATACAAAAGAAAGACATCATTTAGGAAGATCTCAATGAACATTTTCAAACATACTTTCACAGACTGTTCTCCAACACCAGAGAGAAACCCAGGCAAATGTACACAGTGTCTGTAGAAGCAGAGTGCAAACATAAAGACACAAGCAAGGTGGAAAGAGCAGAACAAGTTTGTCAAAACTTATGCCAGCCTTCAGGCCACCAGAAAAACCAGCCCAAGGTGTCACTCTGTGGATCTGCAACCTGCTAGAGCCTCTGCCTCAGTCCTGTTGGTGCTACCAGTGACAGAACTACAGCAATCCCACTTCCCTAGTGAACACTCACAAAGAATTCGGGCTCCAGTGCACATAAGTAACTGAAACGCAGCATGGGAGCGTAGCAGCTTCTCCTAAGGAACTTCTAGAACACAGGTCAGACACTACCCCAACCCACAACATACTACATAACTAAAGGGAAAAACCACATCGCAGTGTCTATTTTGTTCAGACTGTTTGTGTGATGCTCGGGCTGCGAAACTTCACCTCACCAGTTAATGACATCCCCAACCCTAACTCCTAGATAAAATTCATTCTGCAAACAGGTGGAAATAAATTTTAAATAATCTTTTACTTCTGAATCACAGAAATTTCCTTTGGTTCTAGAAAAAATCTCTTTATTTTAAACCTGAAGCTCTACAATTTCTTAACCTATCCTAACATATATCTGTTGTCATAACTGAGCTGAACTAAAAACATAAGTAGACACATACCTAAGTTTCATTTAGCTTAAAAGATAGATTAACTAATTGCCCCACAGGGGCAGGCTGCTAAGTCATGCACGGAAAGTTTCAACAGAAAGCCACGGAAGATTCAACAGAAGCAGCCATGTGTGCATGTGTCCCTTTCAGGTACCTGAGTTTTAAGAAAATAACCAAAGGGAACAACGGCCAAAGAGGGAAGAGTTAAGAGCTGAATAAGATGGTTGCTAATGAGTTTGGAAGTGACGGGGCAAAAAATTTCACTTTAAGAACAAGAATCATATGAAATGAATTTAACAGAGCTGGTCATAGAATAATGGCTTGTAGCATGTGAATCTATGTTTTAGCTAACATTATGAATTCAAAAATTTCCACGTTAATACACTAGAGCACTATACAGTAACACTAATACGTAGGAATAAAAGACTCAAAATCAAACATACACTTAGTCACAACTTCGTAATAATCCAAGGCACTGATAGAAGCCAGCTAGCTAATGTAACAGAAGGACAAAGACAAATTTTAGCAAGCATCTTAGCCAGAGAAGGAACAGTACAGCCTTTATAAGTAAAACTTCCCCCTCTGTGCTTTACTTAGCTTAGTAGAGCTGTATCTATTTTTAAGTAGGTTCTTCAAGTTATTAGTATAATAAAAATTTTCCTACATCTTCCTCCTCAGCAGAGAGAATACATAGTTATATTTCATTTAAGGTTTTGTTTGTTTGCTGGGGTTTGGATATTGAACCTCCACAGTGAGCTACATTGCCAGACCTTTTATTTTTTTAGGTCTTGTTAATCACTAAGTTATCTAAACTGGGCTTAAACTTGCAATCCTCCTGCCTCAGTCTCTCAGAGGGCAGAGATTACAGGCATGTCCTCCATGCCCAGATTCACTTAAGATCTTAAGACATTCTATAACTAAACAAACTAGCAACAATATGGAAATTCCAGTTTCCATTTTAATATACTGGAATACTATATAGTAACACTAAAAAGTGAAAGAACTTAAAATTCCACTGCAGCCTGGGCTGCATAGTGAGTTCTAGGCCAGCCTGAACAACACAGCAAAACCCTGTCTCAAAAAACAAACAAAACAAAAAATTCCTCAAAATCAAACACACATTAATCACAACTCTGCTGAAAACCAAAATACATGAGAGAAGACAAGCCAAAAGAGCTCACTAAACTACAAATACTATTTCTTCTAGTTTTATGTATTAGTTCGTTTTACTTACCCAGAACAATGAGATGCACTGTGGCATGTGGAGTATTTGTAGATACATCTAATGTATTCTGATCACTTTTCCCATCGTCCCCTCCTCCATTTGTCCCTCTTCCTCTCCGCAACCTGTTCTCTAATCATCTCCCTTCTACTTTCATGTCACCTTTCTTTAAAAGATTTTAAATACAATTTCTCATGTTATTGAAGCGTTTTAACTATAGTCTTAACTTAAAATAGTTCAATGTTAATTTTTTTCAAGATAATGGTGGCACAGGCCTATAATCCCAGCACTCTGGGAAACTGCAGCAGGACTGCAAGTTTGAGCCCAGAGTGGCAACTCGACAACTGAAACGGTCTCTATTTAAAAGGGGGGCTTAAAACTGGGGTTTCCACATGTCATTTCCTATAGCTTCAGAACAAATTTCCTTGTTCAACTGAAGGAACACGGGTCGTTCTCCAACAATGCACCCCCTTCCTTATACTACAGAATATTACCACCAGGCAAGCACTCAGTCTGTAAATAAATTCAAGGTATCGACATTTCAACAAAACTATTCGCTAAGATTTCAAGTACTTCATCTAGAAGCCTATATTTGCTCTGCTGACACATCAACCTCTCTGAGTCCTCAAAGTCCCTAGCTAAAGGCTGAAGCAGTTCTGGGATGGTTCCAGCCACGGCAGGCAACAATGCCACACTCTCTCCTCAGGCCAGGGCTGCTGCGCTCCTCCCGTGCACCTCAGCCTCCAGTAGCCAGCACTGACCCGGAGCAGACAGCCCCTCAGAAGCCCTGTGGACCTGCAATGCTGTATTCTCCCCCCTTGACTCACACCCTGACCACCTAGGCTCAGAGCTTCAGCTCCCTTGTTCTCTCCTGAGCCCCCAGCCATGACCCAGGGACAGAACTTTGCTTCCCTAAGCAGAGGGCAAGAGGCTAGCTGGGCCGGGTGACGGCAGAGATGGGGGCTGGATGAGAAGACAGCAGCTGCGCTGCAGGGGCGGTGGGCGGGTCTAAAAGTTCATGGAGAGTCAGGAATCACAGACATCTCAGAGATAAACTAGCTCAAACGCTACATTTTATAGACAAAGACAAAAGTTCACTGAGGAAAGTGATGTCAAAATGAACGTTAACTCATTAAAAGATTATAGGAGCCATGTACATATTTACATTTTTGTTGTTTTGAGACAGAATCTCGCTGTGTAAGTCAGGCTGGCCTTGAACTCACTATGTAGCCGAGGCTGGCTTCAAACCCAAGACGATTCTTTTTCCTTAGCCTTCTGTGTGCTGGTATTATAGGCATGCGCCACCATGCCTGACTTACACATTTTTAAGACAATGAAATATTTAAATATCCTAAAGCATTTTAAAAAGATAACAGAGATATATCTAATATACAGTGTTGAATGTGAAAAATAAATTATAATTGTGTGATCAAGAAAAAAGACAAAAGAATAGTATCCAGAAAGATATGTATTCAAATTGACAGAATTTTACTCTAAGACCTTTACTATAAACATGTACTTTTCTTTTTTTTAATAATGAAAGGGCAGAGAAGATTTGTATTTGTCTTGAGACAGGCTTGCCAACAAGATTGGCCTTGAACTTGCAATCTTCCTTCCTCAGCCTCATGAGTACTGGGACTACACCATACCTAGCAAAAGGAAATATTTGTATTTGGTTTTTTGCTGCTTTGTTTTGTTTTGTTTTGTTGAGACTGGGTCTCGCTATGTAGTTCAGGCTGGTCTCAAACTTGCAGCAGTACTCTTGCTTCATTCTCCCCAGTGCTGAGATTATAGGCGTGCACCACTATGACCAGCTTGGGAATACTTGTATTTGAAAAAAAGGCAAGTGTCACCAGTCTCTTCTTTTTCTTTCCTTTTCCTTTTGTGTGAGTGGGTGCATGGGTGTGACTGGTACTAGGGATGGAACCCAGCAGGCACTAAACTATATTCCTAGCCATTTTCATTTTATTTTGAGACAGGGTCTTGCCAAATTGTGCAGGCTGGCCTTGAACTTGCAATCCTCTTTCCTTAGCCACTTGGAGGGCAGAAAGCTGGATTACAGGTCTGTGCCACTAGACCTAGAACACCAAACTTTCTAGAACTATTTCCTCCTATGAGATTAGTTCTCTCTTTAGGACTTTGTTTAAAACAAATACTAACGCGAACATCAGACATATTCATTTAATTTCTCTCTTGAGAAAACAGCTAATGATTTTCTTCTAAACAAACTTCTCTAGCAATACGTAGCTATTACCTGTTGTGCTTTAGAGCTCTAAAAAGGCCTCCAAGGGTCAAGCCTACTTAGTGCCAGCTATTCAGGAGGCTGAAGCAGTGTTCCTTACACCTAGAAGTTTAAGACCAACCTGGCACAATATAGTGAGATCTTGTCTTTAAAAAAAAAAACAAAAAGCCCTTCAAAACAGAGACAGTCACAGCCCATCATGCGAAATTGACTCATTTAAACAAACTATCCAAAAATGACTAATTACTATGGACTAGCCGGGCCGTCCCTTCCTCTCTTCTCACTGCCATTTGGGCTTTGCATCATTTCATTTGCAGCCTCCATCCTGGCTCCGCCGCCCAGTGGTATCACCTTGGGCAGGTTCTCCAGTCCCTCTGGGCTGCAGCCTGCTCATTTATCAAGGAGGATTATAAACCTCATGGTGCTGCTGTGAAGATTAACGAGCTTAACACATGGGAAGCACTTCGAAGCACTGAGAGGCACAGAGGAAGCACTCAGTAAATACTCCCTTAGCGGGTAATAATGACAATGTGGTAAAAATTTATTACTGAAAGGGCAAGAAGAGATTAAAAAGAGAAAAGAAGGCTTCAGTGCTTCTGCCTAAGTAGAACTGGCAGGGAGGATTATTACCTGTTAATAAAGCTGAAAGGAGATTACAGAATTACCTATAGATTTTAATTATACTCCCAAATCCTAAATGCTCCAAATCTCAAATGCTTTAACAGTAAAGAATTTGCTGAGCTTCCAAAAATCCAGTTTGCAAACTAGCTGGAGAAAATCCAGACGATGGTGAA